ATTTACTAGTTTGGATGAAGGTTGATTTGAGGGAATAAAGTTTTGAGAATATCAGGATAAGAGATACCTCATTAGTTGGTGGAAATTTTGTACGATGCAATTTCAATGGATCAGAATTTGACAATGTAGATATTAGTGGAATGAACTTGAATTAAGCTTAATTGTTTAATTGTAAGTGGAAAAATATCAAAATACATGAGTTAGATAAACTAGAGGGTCATGGTGGAAGTGTCAATAAGGTCTGCTTTTCTCCAGATGGTAAATAATTAGCGTCTTGTAGTGATGATAATTCGATTATATTGTGGGATGTTAAAAAAGGAAAAATAATGTCTGTAATCAAGGAAAAGGAAGTAGTAAAATCTGTATGCTTCTCACCAAATAATAGGATATTAGCTTTCAGCAGTGGAAAATTTGTGTATATATGGAATCTTAAAACAGGAAAATAATTTTCTAAATTAATTTGTCATTCATCAATTGTAACTTCAGTCAATTTCTCTCCTGATGGTACTACATTAGCATCTGGAAGTTATGATAACTCTATCCTTTTATGGGATGTTAAGACAGGATAATAAAAAGCCAAATTAGAAGGTCATTCATCATCTGTTAATTCAATTTGCTTTTCTCCTGATGGCAATACGTTAGCATCTTGTAGTGGTTTACTTTTTGGAAGTGATAATTCTATCCATTTATGGGATGTTATGACAGGATAATATAAAGCCAAATTGGATGGGCATTCAAAAAGAGTATGGTCAGTTAATTTCTCTCCTGATGGTACTACATTAGCATCTGGTGGAGATGATAAGTCTATGCGTTTTTGGGATGTTAAGACAGGATAATATAAAGCCAAAGTAGATGGTCATTCTGGCTATGTATTTTCACTCAATTTTTCTCCTGATGGTATTACATTAGCATCTGGTAGTGGAGATCAGTCTATCCGTTTATGGGATGTTAAGACAGGATAATAAAAAGCCATTTTAGAAGGTCATTCTGGAACAGTTTAATGTTAAGACAGGAAAATAAAAAGGCAAATTAAATGGACATTCTAATATAGTTACTTCAATTTGTTACTCTCCTGACGGTACTGCATTAGCATCTTGTAGTTAGGATGAGTCTATTTGTTTATGGGATGTTAACACAGTGTAATAAAAAGCCAAATTAGATGGTCATTCTTCAATTGTTACTTCAGTGAATTTCTCTCCTGATGGTAGTACATTAGCATCTGGTAGTTCAGATAACTCTATCCGTTTATGGGATGTTAAGACAGGATAATAAAAAGCCAAATTAGATGGTCATGAAGATCGTGTTAATTCAATTTGTTACTCCCCTGATGGTATTACATTAGCATCTGGTAGTTGGGATAAGTCTAT